AACCAACCTGGCCAATATGGTGAAATCCCATCTTTAATAAAAATACAAAAATTAGCTGAGTATGGTGACTCATAACTGTAATCCCAGCTACTCAGGAAGCTGAGGCAGGAGAATCACTTGAACCCAGAAGACAAAAGTTGCAATGAACCAAGATCCATTGCACTCCCACCTGGGTGACAGAGCAAGACTCCATCTAAAAAAAAAATAAGAAAAGCAAAGAAATTTTCTAGGAAGAAATTCAAGCCTGCTGCAGAAATTTTCATAAGAAACAAGGAGCCAAATGTTAATTACCAAGACAAAGGGGAAAAAGTCTCCAGGTCATATCAGAGACTTTTGTGGCAGTCCCTCCCATCACAGGCCCAGAGGCGTAGGAGGAAAAATTCATTTCATGGGCCAGGGCCAGGGCCACTCTGCTGTGTGCAGACCAGGGACTTCGTGCCTTTTGTCCCAATTGCTCTAGCCATTGCTAAAAGGTATCAAGGTACAGTTCACACTGAGGCTTAAGAAGGTCCAAGCCTCAAGTCTTGGCAGCTTCCACATGGTATTGAGCCTGCAGGTGCACATAAGTCAAGAATCAAGGTTTGGGAACCTCTATGTAGATTTCAGAGGATATATGGATGCTCAGACAGAAGTTTGCTACAGGGGTTGGTCCCTCATGGAGAACCTCTGCTAGGGCACTGTGGAAGGGAAATGTGGGATTGGATTCCTCACACAGAATCCCCATGGGACATTGCCTAATGGAGCTGTGATAAGAGGGGTACCATCTTCCAGACCCCAGAATAATAGATCCACCAACAGCTTGCCCTGTGCACCTGAAAAAGCCACAGACACTTAACGTCAGCAATGAAAGCACCTGGGAGAGAAGCTGTACCCTTCAAAGTCACACGGCAGAGCTGCCCAGGGCCATGGGAGAACCACCTCTTGCAACAGTGTGCCCTGGATGTGAGACGTAGAGTCAAAGGAGATTATTTTGGAACTTTAAAGTTTAATGGCTGCTTTTTCGGATTTCAGACTTGCATGAGGCCTGTTGCCCCTTCACTTTGGCCAATTTCTCTCAGTTGGAATGGGTGTATTTACCCAAATGCCTGTATATCCATTGTATTTAGGAAGTAACTAACTTGGTTTTGATTTTATAGGCTCATAGGCAAAAGGGTCTTGCCTTCTCTCAGATGAGGCTTTGGACTTGGACTTTTGAGTTAATGCTAGTGTGAGTTAACACTTTGGGAGACTGTTCAAAGGACATTATTGTGTTTTGAATTGTGAGGATATGAGATTTGTGAGGGGCCAGGGGCAGAATAATATGGTTTCGGTGTGTACCCACCCACATCTCATCTTGAACTGTAGTTCCCATAAGCCCCATGTGTTGTGGAAGGGACACGGTGGAGGGTAATTGAATTATGGGGGTGGTTACCTCCATGCTGTTCTCATGATAGTAAGTGAGTCCTCACAAGAGTTGATTTTTATAAAAGGTGCTTATGTTTTATAATGGGCGCATTCCCCACTTTGCTCTGCATTTCCCCTTGCTGCTGCCATGTGACGAAGGACATGTTTGTTTCCCCTTTCAACACAATTGTAACTTTTCTAATGCCTTCCAATCCATGCTAGACTGTGAGTCAATTAAAGCATTTTCCTTTATAAATTACCCAGCTTCCAGTATGTCTGACCTGACCAGTATGTCTGCCAGCCTCTTACAGAGTTTCTGCCTAGCCACATCTGCTTGCAGCACAGACTCAGATGGTCAGATAGGGTACATCTCAGCAGACACTGCCAGCAGCCCACATCTTACCATCAAAGAACTTTTACAAAGGGGCCTCTGCCAGTGTCCACCTACCCACAGCCTCCTTTTATTACTTTGCTGGCAGGCACGCATGCTGCAGATACCACCGTGCCACTGCCCCACCACCAACCCACCACTGCCAGCAAGAACACACACATGAGGACCCAGCGGTCTTTGGTGCCACAGTTACATGTGAGCGACTGTTGACCTTAATATCACTGGCCCAGTGAAGCAAGTTTTCTGGCACTCCCCATCAGGGTGTTGTTGCCAGTGGACCAGGAACAACTTAGGCCTTCCAGTATAGCAGCTGCTTAACCTTAAAGGGACAGAGAACAAACCTGTGAACCTGGTCCCAGCCACCCAGGGATAGAGTATATAGCCCAGAAGTGCTAAGCTGAGCCTTGACCCCTGAAGTCATCCAGAAAATAAGCCAGTCAACTAAATCTAACTTATACCACAGCCAAACACTCAAGAGCATTAAAAAATACAAAAGCAAAAAGTCCTATCCAAAGGATAGCAACTTCAAAGATTAATGGAACAACAACCTACACAGAATAAGAAAGAAATAGCATAAACACTCTGGCAACTCTAAAAGCCAGAGTGTCTTCTTACCTCCAAATGACGGCACTAGATACTCAACAATGACTCTTAATCAGGCCGAAATGTCTGAAATCACAGTTATAGAATTCAAAATCTTGATGCTAATGAAGATCATTGAGATTCAGAGAAAGTTGAAACCCAATCCAATGAATCTAAGGAATTCTAAGGAATCCATGAAAATGATTCAAGAGCTGAAAGACAAACTAGGCATTTTAAGAAAATGAATCAAGAAGATTTGATACAGTTGAAAAACTCACTACCAGAAACAATCAGAAGTATTAACAGCAGAACAGACAAAGCTGAGGAAAGAATCTCAGAGCTTGAAGACTGGTTTTTCAAATAAACTCAGAACAATAATAGATAAAGAATTTTAAAAATTAAACAAAAGCTCACAGAAATACAAAATTATGTCAAGAGACCACACCTATGACTTACTGGCATCTGTGAAAGAGAGGGAGAGACAGGAAGCAACCTGGAAAACATGCTTGAGGTTGTTGTCCACTCAACCTCACTAGAGAGGCTGAGATTCAAATTCAAGAAATGCAGAGAACTCCTGTGAGACACTAGAAAAGATGACAATCCCAAATCATAGCCATCTGGTTTTCTGAGGTTAATGTGAAAATTTATACAAAGGGAACTCCATAAGACTGACTGACAGCAGAGCTTTCAGCAGCCAAACTCTACAAGCCACAAAAGACTGGGGGCATATAAATAAAGCATACTTAAATAAAGAAATTCCAAGAATTTTATACGTAGCCAAACTAAGCTTTATAAACAAAGAAGAAATAAAATCCATTTTAGACAAGCCATTGCTAAAGGAATTTGTTACCACCACACCTGTTTTACAAGAGGACCATAAGGGAGTGTAAAACATGAAAGTGAAAGACAGTTATTGGATACCACAAAAACACACTTAAATATGTAAATTATTGACACGTTAAAGCAACTGCATTATTAAGTCTAGATAATAATTGGCAAACAATATAATGACAGGATCAAATTCATATCTGTCTACCTATCTACCTACCTATCTTTCTATCTATATATAAATCCATCTATTGAGACAGGGTCTCACTGTCACACAGGCTGGAGTGCAGCAATTTTGGCTCACTGTAACCTCTACCTCCTGGGTTCAAAAGATTCTCACGCTTCAGCCTTATGAATAGCTGGGATCATAAATGTGTGCCACCATGCCTGGCTAAATTTTGTATTTTTTGTAAAGGTGGGGTTTTGCCATATTGGTCAGGCTGGTCTTGAACTCCTGGCCTGAAGTGATTCAACTACATTGGCTCGTAAAGTACTAGGATTACAGGCATGAGCCATCACTTCCAGCCTCACACAAATCAATATTAATCTTGAATGTAAACAGGATAAATGCCCTCACATAAAAGGCTCAAAGTGGCAAGTTGGATAAAGATGCAAGATCCAGTTTTAGGCTGTCTTTAAGGGACCCATCACACATGCAATGATGTGCTATGGGCTCAAAGTAAAGGGATGAAGAAAGATCTATGAAGCAAATAGAAAACAAAAAGAGCAGGGATTGCTATTCTCATTTCAGACAAAACAGACCTTAAAGCAACAATAATCAAAAAAGGACAAAGAAGGGCATTATATAATGATAAAGGGTTCAATAAGAAAATCTATATTGACCCATCACTAGAGCAGCCAGATTTATAAATCAAGTTCCTAGAGACTTAAAAATAAATTTAGATAATCACACAATAATAGTGGGAGACATCAATACCCCCCTAACTGCATTAGACAGATTATTGAGCTAGGAAACTAAAATGATATTCAAGAACTGAACTTGACACATGGTCAAGTGGACCAAACAGACATCTGTAGAATGCACCACCCAATAAGAACAGAATATACATTCTTCTCATCTGCATATGGCACATACTTCAATATTAACTACACACTCAACCATAAAGCAATTCTGACCAACATCCCTGATGAACATTGATGCAAAAACCCTCAACAAAATACTAGCAAATCAAATTGAGCAACACATCAAAAAGCTAATTCACCTGACTGATGTGGTTTGGCTATATCTCCACCCATATCTTATCTTAAATTGTAGCTTCCATAATCCCCACATGTCATGGGAGTGACCCAGTTTGAGGTAATTGATTCATGGGGGGGTGTTTTTCCCATTCTGTTCTCATGATAGTAAGTCTCATGAGATCATATAGTTTTATAAAAGGCAGTTCTCCTGCACACACTCTTTCTTGCCTCTGTGTAAGACAGGCCTTTGCCCCTCCTTCACATTCTACCACAATTGTGAGGCCTCCCCAGCCACATGGAACTGTGAATCCATTAAACTTCTTTTTCTTTATAAATTATACAGTCTCAGGTATGTCTTTATTAGCAGTATGAGAACAGACTAATACAATGATCATGTAAGCTTTATTCCTGGAATGCATGGTTGGTCTAACATACACAGATCAACAAATGTGATTCATGACATAAACACAATTAAAAAGAAAACACATAATTATCTCAACAGATACAGAAAAGTATTTCAATAAAATTCAACATTCTCTCATGTTGAAAACCCTCAAGAAACATGGCATAGGAGAAACATTGCCAAAATAAGAGCCATCTGTGAAAAACTCACATCCAACATCATACTGAACAAACAAAAGCTGAAAGCATTTCCCTTGAGAACCAGAACAAGACAAGGATGCCCACACTCACCATTCCTATTCAACATTGTTCTGGAAGTCCTTGCCAAAGCAATCAAACAAGAGAAAGAAACAAAAGGCATCCAAATAGAAAGAGTTAGTTAAGCTGTCTCTCTTTGCAGATGTGATTCTACACCTAGAGAACACCACAGTCTCTGCTCAAAGGCTCCTAGATCTGATAAACTTCGGCAAATTTCAGCACACTAAATCAATGTACAAAAATTAGTATTATTTCTACATACCAATATCATCCAAGCTAAGACTCAAATAAAAAATGCAATTGCATTCACAATAGCCACACACACACACACACACACACACACACACACACCCCATAGGAATTCAGCTAACTAGGGAGTTAAAAGGTATTTACAACAAGAATTACAAAACACAGGTGAAAGAAATCACAGATGACACAAACAAATGGAAAAAACATTCCATATTCTTGTTTAGAAAGAATCAATATTATTAAAATGCCCATACTGGCCAAAGCAATTTACAGTTTGGATGGTGTTTCTATCAAACTACCAATAAAGTCTTTCCCAGTTAGAGAAACCTATTCTATAATTCATATGGAACCAAAAAGCAGATGGATAGCCAAAGCAATCCTAAGCAAAAAGAACAAATCCAGAGGCATCACATTATTTGACATCAAACTACACTACAAGGCTATGATAACAAAAACCACATGATACTGGTACAAATGCAGAAACATAGACCAATAAAACAGATTAGAGAACCCAAAAATAAAGCTACACATTTACAACCATTTGATCTTCAACAAAGTCAACAATAATAAGTAATGGTGAAAGAAATCTTTGTTCAATAAAGGGTGCTGGGATAACTGGCTAGTCATATGCAGAAGATTGAAACTGGACCCTTACCTTTCACCATAGAAAAAAATCAACTTACAATGAATTAAAGACTTAAATGTAAGACCTAAAATTACAAAATCCCTGGAAGAAAATCTAGAAAATACCATTCTGAACCTAGGCGCAGGCAAAGATTACATGATGAAAACTCCAAAAGCAATTTCAACAAAAACAAAAATTCCTAAGTGTCACCTAATTAAACAAAGGAGCTTCTCCATAGCAAAACAAACTATCAACTGAGTAAACAGACAGCCTACAGAATGGGAGAAGATATTCATGAACTATACATTCAACAGAGGTCTAATATCCAAAATCTGTAAGGAAATTAAACAATCAACAAGCAGAAAACAAACAACTCCATTACAAAATGCACAAAGGATATGAACAAATGCTTCTCAAAAGAAGACGTACATATGCCCAGCAAGGATAGAAAAAAGTGCTCAATGTCACTAATCATTAGAAAAATGCAAATCAAAAGCACAATGAGATACCATCTCACACCAGTCAGAATGACTGTTATTAAAAAGTCAAAAAATAACAGATGCTGGCGAGGTTGTGGAGAAAGGGAATGCTGATACACTGCTGGTGGGAATGCAAATTAGTTCAGCCATTGTGGAAAGCAGTTTGGAGATTTCTCAAAGAATTTAAAACATAACTACCATTTAACCCAACTATCCCATTACTGGATATGTATCCAAAGGAATATAAATAATTCTACCGTAAGGACACATGTACTCATATATTCATTGAAGTACTATTCACAATAGAAAAACCATGGAATCAATCTAGATGCCCATCAGTGATGGCCTGGATAAAGAAAATGCCGTGTATATATGCCATGGAATACTATGTAGCCATTAAAAAAGAATGAAATCATGTCTTTGCAGCAACATGGATGGAGCTGGAGGCATTTATTCTAAGCAAATTACCACAGAAACAGGAAAACGAACACCACATGTTCTCACTTATAAGTGACAGCTAAACATTGAGTACATAGAGACACAAAGAAAAAAACAAGAGACACTGGGGCGTACTTGAGGGTGGGGCATCAGACAAGATTGAAGATCAAAAAACTACCTGTCAGGTACTATGTTCACTACTGAGGCAACAAAATAATTTGTACGCCAAACTCCAATGACACACAATTCACCCATGTAATAAACCTGCACATGTACCCTCGAACTTAAAATAAAAATTGAAAGGGAAAAAAATACAAGGAGGTGGTAAGTCATAGTTCCAGAGGGGCATGGGTCAAAATCAGAGGTTATTCATGCAGATGCAAGAACCACAGATTTATCTATCTATTAATGAAACTTATGCCTAAAAGAAGGAGTACAAAGGCTTGATTTCACAATTCTTGTCAACATAAATGGAATATGTTACTGAACTTTCAGTTTTCTACAAGGGTAAAATGAAAGTTGTTTAAGTCAGTTTAACACCCAGCGTTCATCTTTTTTGCAAGAATCTTTCCAATAACTTAAAATCTCTCTTGTATCTCTTTAAAAATTCATCCCTTGTCTATGAACCCACTATCCATTTTTCTGTGTCTGTATGTAAGTGATAATAGAGAAATCTGCTTAACATTGCAACTTATTAGTTGTATTCCTAGGTATTTTATTTTCTTTGTGGCAATTGTGAATGGAAGTTTGTTCTTGATTTGGCTCTCTTTAAGTCCGTTATTTGTGTACAGGAATGCATGTGATTTT